GTTTTCCTATGTGATCTTTTGTCCAAGGAAGAAGACAGAAGCACTGACTTCCCTAATGTCAACACTGCTGATGCTTTTCCCCTGGTCTTCTAGAGGTCTGGGGCCTGGGAAAGTTTGGACTGGCAGGAGTGAGTTGACCTTGAATTCTGGGAGAACCAGCAACTGCATTTTCAGCAGTGGAGAATGTTGTCTACCATTGATGAAAGCTTAGTCAGCTTGCTCCTCTGTCAAAGAGAGCCTCTTGACTGCTGAAGCCATCAGACCTTCACAGCCCAGGCTCTCTGCCCTAGCTCTCTGCTGCCATGCTCCAGGTGAGCAACGTACTGGGAAAGCATGCAGCTCTGGTCAATATTTTATAAAATAATCCACCACAAAAAAAACAAAGAAACCAAAAAAACCCCTGAACCTGACCTGGAGAAACAGCTGCCGAAACAGCAAAAGTTTTCAAAACAGAAAACTTAATTGCTTGAGAGGCCTAACATGGCCGCAGCCTTGTGGGAAGACAAACGGGAGGGAGGGCAAGGGGGCCTAGCGTATGGGCATTACTGGGTTCTCTAGGCCGTGGCCAGCAGCCTCTCCTCCCACGGCCTGCCGGGCTGACAGAGGAGTTCACAGAAAGATAATCTTTGTCATTAACATCCAAGAGCTGACCAATTCCTGATGTAGTTGAAATGGAACTGACACAGAAATATTTAGGGAGATGTGCAAAATTAAGTGCCACACTTAGAACCGCACATATATAAAAAGCAAACATATGTAACTGAAGCAAAAATCTTGAATCTTGTCTGTACTTTTAACTGGGAAACATCTATTTCTATGCAGGTATTTTTAGACCCAAAGAAAAGCCTTAAATAACTTATAAGAAATGGGATGCAGAGCTTTTTTTTTTTTTTCCTTCAAATGCAGCACAGGTCTGGAGCTGTTCTGCAGATGATCTAAATGACTTTGATAGTTTGTAGCAGCACATGAAATATTTGTAGGTAAGGAGAGAACTAAAATTTAAAGGCTTGGTAGGATACTTGAGTTGTCAGGATAGATGGTTATCTTATTAATCACTTACATAAACTCTGCAAGCTTCTAGTTTAAAAAGAATATGTTTTTCAATTTCCATTTGTTTCTGGGCATACTTTTGTGTTAACATTTGGAAAACTTTTGAGTATGTTATATCTGATTCTGGGAGAGAATAAGTTATAATGAATAATTTATTTGAGAACCTTTTCTTTTTCCTATGCGTGGCTGGTTTGTGAAGTGCTGGTATTTTTTCAGAAGTGTATTTATAATTTAAAATGCATTATTGGACACTTTTGTGATATTTTAGTGCAGAAATGATGATGTTTGGGAATATGATTGTGGTACTGCTCTGATTTTATATTTGAAGCCTATTCTTTATATATCACTTAATATTTCTGATTTTTGATAGTTGAGTGGGGTATATTCATGGAAATTAACTGCATAAAGGGCAGACAGGTCTTCAAGGTAAATTCAAAATTTTAATGAACTGTTGGTGAACGTTTTTTTCGTACTTAAATTTAATAATGGTGAAAGTACCTCTGAAACACTGTCATTTCTGGAGAAAATGTAGAAATGCATTCTCGATTTAGACTTTATACTAAATGACAATTTCTGGAAATCTTTTGTTCAAAACATAAAGTGTTTTCAGATTCTGCTTTATGGTTCATTGGTACATTATACAGTCCAGCTTGTTTAACAAGGAGTATGATCAGCCATGTTGTATTTCTCTGCTCATTTCTTTTCATTTACTTTTTTTTATGCTATTCAAATTTCTAAAAGCAGATGAAATTTCCCCCTCTCTGTGAAGCCAGTTGGGACAAAGCAAGGTCAGACGTCTGGAGTGGTCTTTATCAATGTCTGAATTTCACTGTCTTTCCGCTTACATTTAGCCTGAGGTTTTATATACTGTTTTAAATGGGAAAAAAAATTGACATTCATTTGCAAACAAATTCACACACTTGCAGGTTCACCAACAAAGATAATTACATAGCTGCTTAGTTATGTGAGAGAACATATATAGACAAGCAAGGTGTAATCGTGAAGGGCTTTGGCTTGCAGGCTGTGGTCTTGGTGTAAGCTCAGTCCGTTAATGGCACAATACACATACACAAGTGAAGATACAAAGGTTAAGTTGTCTTTAAGTGGCTGATATTATTAGCTCCTTTCATTTCCTCAAGGCTTTGTCAAGCAGCGTGCACAACAAGCCCTGTAACTCTGGAGTCCTTTTAGGACACCTTGGAGTCATTTTTGAGGCTTGACTGGGAACAGATAGTGAATAAAGGAAAGCTGACTTGCAGTGAGTAGAAATAGGACAAGGAAATATTTAATCTTTCAGAAAGCTGTGCATAAGCTTTTCTGTGCTGTTGCATAAAATATGACTGAAAAATGTGGTATGCCCAGATTCCCTCTGGGGACAAATGAGATCTCCACATTACTCACATTAGTGATGGCTGACATGGTGTATACTTCAGCACTTCGCGGTTAGAGAGTTCCTTACTTAAACTAAGACCAAGTATCTCGTGCTGCTCACCCCACATCTTGACCTATGCTACCCTTTCTGTTAATTGTATTTAAATAAGTACAACTATACAAAAGACAAATACAGTGACTACTCTTGAAATAGCTGAAAAATTCTTCTAAAAACCTCTCTGCCAAATCCAGTGTAGCTGGATGATAATTTAAAAAACATATATTGGTCAAAGAAGATCAAGGGAAAATTATAGCCAGAGCCTCAGTTTAAGATCTTCTACTAACTGCATTGGAAAATTTAAATTTAAAAACCTAATGAAAAGCAAATCTTACACTGATCAATTTCCTTTATTCACCGATATCATCTCTTTTTGGACTGCAACGTAACTGGAATGCCAGGTGTCTCTGTTACAGAGAGAGCGGCAAAGATTTATGCACAGCATTACCTCGGCGTGTAATGTGTAAGACTATTAGCTTCAAGGCTCCTTTTCAGTGTTCACAAGTCAGCGCAGGGTACGACTTACAGCGTGTCCTGCGTTCACAGAAATGAAGAATCCTTCCTTACTCTGGCACCAAAATTAAAAATGCTTTTAATAGCGACTTTGCCAATTAATTCCTCCTTTCCCAGCTACACGATGAAAATCTCTGAAGGTTAGATTAAATTTACAGGTGCAAGTCCATAGTTACAGGTGGTTTCTGTGCCACTCTTGCAGGAGCTTTGGAAAGATATTAGTGTTTATAATCATTCTTCATCTGCTGTTCTTGCACTGATTTATTGGTTTCATCATTTTCTTTGTCCTGTCCTCCTGTAACTGGGTAATTGAACCGATAAGAACATAGTAGAGTGGAGTCATTGCTTATCCATTTGCCTTCTCACGTCTTCTTACCTCTTTTCTCCCAGAAACTGTAAGTGTTTAATATGTCTGTGCCTGTTCAGTCTCACCACAGGAAATGATACTAAGCTGAGCATACCATGAAAGTAAAGGCGCAGCACAACTCTGTGTGATTACAGTTTCCTAGCAGTAACATAGGATGAAAATATCCGTTGAAAAAAATATCATGAAATACTAAATAATATCATCCAAGATGACTGACAGTCCGAGACACTTGGGTAAAAAAATGTTAATTTTTAACTGAGTAGGTTTTCATTCAAGTGAAATTTTAATTAAATTATAAACTTAGAGAACATCACAAATCTAAACTGTGACAACTTCAATGAGACAATAACTTTTTTAGAATTATTTTTAACCCTCTGTGCTGCACAGAAAGGAAGTGTTGGGGTCCATACTATGCTCTTTTTCCAGATTATTTTATATTGTTTTAATTGCAAAATAAATGCTATTATCTTGAGATCAAGCCATTGCAAACAAAAGGAGTAAGGAAAATAAAGTTTTATTTTCGTATTATAGATGGAGAACTGAAACAGGATAAAATTACTGAGTCACAATGAACTGTGGCAAAAGAGGAAAGAAATTAAATGCAAGTCTTGAGTGACTCGGGCTTATCTTTTACACACAAGACCAATCTTTTCCTTAGTGTTTAATATTAAACTCCTTCATGATGAAATTCAGTTAGCCCATATAGAATCAAGCATGATCTTTATATGAGTCAAGTGTATGTGGGGTGGGGTAAAAAAGAATTAGAGAGAGGAAAAAAATACCAACCAGTAAACCCAAGGCTAGAATAAGGAGAAATATTAACAGAGATTTTTGGTAAAAAGAAGCAGCCAGGTAGCCCATTTTAATACTGAGTTGAAAGCAATCTGGAGTAATGGTAGAACTGAAACATTTGCTTACTCACATGTCAGGTTAAAATTAAGCCTAATAAGATAGTTTCAAAAATCTTCTTTTGATTCCAACAATCATGTTGTGGTTAAAAAAAACTGCTGAAATAAATATGCATTGGGAAAAAGGAACATTTATGACAACAAAAAGTAAGTATGTGTGAGATGCAAGATAAACGGAAAAGTGCAGGAGTTAAGCTGGCTGTCTGTGAGTTATTTGAGTTACAGCCAGAAAGTTCTTTGTCTGTCTCCCAGTAAAATATCTAAGTTTCTGTAGGACCATGATAGCAAACTGCAAAAGTGGTAAACAAAACCTAAAAGTTATAGTCTTAGGGGAGTTTTGTGACAAAGTAATTTACTACACTTGCTTTATTGTCCTTTTTTGTTTTTTTTTTCTTTTTTTATTAAATGTAATGAAACATAGCCTTTTCTGGATTTCCTTGAGACCTGGAAAATTAAATTTTAATGCATTACATCAAGAAATTTAGAAATATTGAGATTTTGCTTCAATAGTAATTAAAGTATGGCCAAGAAAATGATTTCTTTGGAATTACAGTTGGGGCTTTGAAACTAGTGACGGAAAAGAACAGTACCTGAATATATCATTTGATATTTTTAAAAGATCCTGTCTATTCAGTCATGTATATATATGTTAATTTTGGGGGAAGGAGCGAAAAAGAAAATCAATAGCAATGTTATTGTCTAAAGACTAATATTCTGATGCTGTCTGTTCCAGATCTGTTGCAGAAGCCACAGAGGTTGATCTCAACATGAGAGTTGGATTGCATACAGGCAGGGTGCTTTGCGGGGTCCTGGGCCTCCGAAAATGGCAATATGATGTCTGGTCAAATGATGTGACTTTAGCTAATGTAATGGAAGCTGGAGGACTGCCTGGGTAAGTCTGAGAAAGAACCACAGAAAAAGAAACAGAAACCTGTATGAGTGAAGAAATTATTTCCTTCTTTGAGGCATTTGCAGTGTGATTGCTATTGATAAGGATTGTGCTCAGTAAGCAATCAGTGTGTTATGTGATTTATCCTGTGAGAGTCTCCAAATGATCTTGATATTTACATTAGTAATAGGTTAGATTAGAAGTAAAACATTTCCAAACGAAATCCTTATTAGAAGGCGCCAAATATAAAGAGTAGGAATGAGGCTATGTTAGGAATGTAGGAATGCTAGACTTTCACCATTTCATGTTATAAAAGTAAAACCCTCTAGTTATTCCAGGAAATTTTTACCCTTGCACCTCTACACGTGTGTGTGTGTGTGGGAGGGTGTGCCTTACTCCTTTTACCTGGCAAGTTTTCCAACACAGTAGTGTGCTATAGAAAAAAAAATACCTGTTTATGAAATCAAATATTGATGGTGTGTGTGCAAATGATACAGTAGCACATAAACCTGCAGCCAACCCATGGGGCATGTCCTGGAATTTTAAGTGTCATAGAATCATATAATGGGTTGGGTTGGAAGGGACCTTAAAGCCCATCCAGTTCCAACCCTCTGCCATGGGCAGGGACACCTTCCACCAGACCAGGTTGCTCAAAGCCCCATCCAGCCTGGCCTTGGCCACTTCCAGGGAGGGGGCAGCCACAGCTTCTCTGGGCAACCTGTTCCAGTGCGTCACCACCCTCACCATGAAGAATTTCTTTCATATATCTCATCTAAATCTTCCCTCTTCCTATTCAAAGCCATTCCAAAGTACTCCTTGGACAGCCTTGGATCCAATTTAAATGCATGGGTGTGTTTCTGTGTGCAACTCACATTTGGACTGGGATCTGCCATCCTATGTTGGGTTTTTACAAGATGATGGTCTGCTGAACAGAGGGACAAGAGAACTTCTTAATTTTTGTGATTAATATGACCAAATTTATGTTTGTTACGTATGCCTTAGACAATTTTGGCAGTGTATTTTGTATGTTCCTTACCTTAAGGCTTTCCAGTGAAAAAAAATCTGAACACATCTTTAATAGAGGAAAGCAGTAATAGCTTTCCAGATACCTTCTGTGAAGATGTTTCAAATATAAGGGGTCTTTCAGGAGGAAATGTGAAGACAATTTTCAGGATAAGAAAACTCATGAATAGTGTCAAAGGTGGCTGTGGTACCAAAACAAAGTGGATTAGAAAGCTGCCTACAAAACAGAGTGAGGAAATGAAACAAGTCAGAGACATGAAGGGGAACAGAAAAACAAGTTTCTCCTTTATGCACAGGAGAGAATTGGAGTGTGAAATCATAATTTTCAAACAGCAAGATGTTTTTCCAAGGAGGCAGTGAAGGAAACACTTAAGAAAGCTACCTAATGTGGAAGATGATGTGCAGAGTTTCACTTTCTACAAATGAACAAATATGCAAATGTTTGAACAGTCAACGGTTATCTTTCTGTTCACTCTGCTGAAGTTCAGAAATATTGTAACAGAAATATTTCTATGTTCTATTTGGCTAAAAAGACAAAACAAAACTTTTTTTTATGTTTTGCACATAATTTGACCTCTTTATGATCTTCTGCACAGGAGTGTATTTCAGTAGCGACTATCTCATAATGTATCTTTGATTTAAAGAACAATGTCCAATTTTTCTCTCTAGGAAAGTTCACATTACAAAGACCACCTTAGAGTGCCTAAATGGGGACTACGAGGTAGAGCCAGGATATGGTCATGAAAGGAACAGTTTCTTGAAGAAGCATAATATCGAAACATTTTTTATTGTGCCATCCCATCGTAGGAAGGTAAGCTCCACAAATTCTAGCTTGTTCTGTGACATGTTTTCGTAATTTAACAACTGTTCTGTGATATTCTGAAAGCAGAGGCAATACTGGTATTTCTTATTTCTAAAAGCTTTTCAAACACTCTTGAAATTAGATCTTTTGGTTTTGACTGAGGCAGGAATGTTAAAAAATCTAACTTTGAACTTTACATAGAGAAGATGATCAATGTACTTTTGAAGTCAAAAAATAAAATAATTTTTCCCTTTACCTCCCCAAAAAAGAAAACTGTTGTTTTATTCAGATTCTGTAATCATTCTGTCAGAAATTCTATGATATGTTACTCTAAAAATTTAATTCACTCTTCCTTTCCTCCTCCCTGTAAAAGGGTGTTTTAGAATATTAATGCTGACAGCTTGGATATTTTTCTTCTAGTTTTCTTTACTCTTTCATTCCCATATTCCCATGCCATTCTACTTATGCGCTCCTAACTCTTTCTACAACCACTTCTGATACTGCTAGCTCCTTTACTGGGCCTGGAGGATTACTCAATGAATAGACAGAGAAAAAGTAGTATTTACAGACATGTCAGGCCCACAGCAGAAAAGTCAGTGAAATGAATTCAGCTGTGATTGAACTAACATCCCCTGGAAGTCTGTAAAAGCTGCCATGTTGCCGAGCTGTACAACACAAGCCCTTTTATCCAGGTCAGAGGACGAGGCTGCAGTCAACCATCCTGCTTTCAAATGTATATACCACAGTACCACCGATCAGGTACTTGTGCTGAAGCTGAGTAAATTTTCTAAGATCATTGCAACAAATAATATATTCTCTGTCCAAAACCTGCATGTTTTTTTTCTCCTGCTATGTTGAGCTGCTCATGACAAATTCAATGTTTTCCTTGCTTGCTGTGTCACCTCAGACTCCCACAATGATTTTGATCATCCCTTTATTATAGCTGCCCTTCACTCCAAATTTTCTTAGAATCATAGAATAGAATCATAGAA